CAATATTACAAGTAAATTGTGCATAAATACTACTTCTTAAAGCTTCATATTTGAATTCGTATAACTAACTGCAGATAAATATAATCAAATAGAGGATGATTATCTCATTTCAAATATATAAAATTTAGAATTTAATAAAGATAATTATTGAGTTCTAATAAAAGACTTCATTATTATCTTATTAAAATTATATTGTTAAACGAAAAATAAAAAAAAATAATTTTTTTTTAAGTAGTTAGTTTGATACTAACATAAATATTTTTTTTCATTTTTTTTATGACATATCTTCATATTTAGATTTCATTCAATAATAAAAACATTATCGGTTTCTCAAAACCACATAAAACTGCATAGACAAAAAAAATGAAACATTAAAATCAAGATATATTTTGATGCATTGTGTGAGTACCATTCTAGTTACTTAATAAAGAATAATATGAGATTGCATATTTACCTTCTATTTATCTTAATTTGAGAATTTTTAGACTTGAGAGACGTTTGGTTTAATTGAATGGTTTAGATGAAATTAGATTTCATGGAAGGATTTGAAATAGGAGAATTAAAATTTGGAATTTAGGCTTTGAAATTAGAATGGAATTAAATTCCATTCTTTATAAATTATTTGTAAAATCAAGTTATAAATAATTATGAAAATAATTAAATTATCTTATTATTAATTGATTATTGAAAAACAAACGTTTTAACATATTTTAAAACATTATTATATACAAATCTTTCAAATTCCTTGAAATCCCAACCATCTCAGTAAAATCTCGAAATCCCATGTTTGAGGGGTTTCGAAGACATCTTAGAATTTCAAATCCAAACAATCCTATAAACCAAACATAAGTTTAGAATAAATTTAAAACCAAATTTCTCATTTTTTTAATTTCTGCAAACTAAACATGACCTCATTTGAGACATCTCCTTTTCACACATAGATATCATTTTTGAGCATTTTTTGTATTAGTTTTTTTAATAACAAAATTTATAAAATATTCAAACAAATACAATTATTTAGAAATTGTTTATTTATCTCTTAATAGTTTTATTAAGAGACGGTATTTGAATCTTAAGAGATGGATCTTGTTTTGGCAAAAAAAAATTCTCTTAATGGTTCTAAAACTCTATGAATGATTTTGTATCATAGATCTCTTTTAATCATTCAAGGCCCTAATTTCATTATAAACAATTACCAAGCAATTATATTTCATTTTACACTATATCATTCTACACCAGACCATTCAGCAACTGCCAAACAACCCCTTAATTATTACCACTTCAAAAAGTAAAAATAACAACTCGCACCCACTCCTTTTCCCAAAATACAATCAAACACCCCCTTGTATTCGCATGGGTCTATTTTTATGAAGAAAAAAATCAATTTTAGAGATTTCTAATTCTAATAGCTTCTTTGATTTTAAGGATTTCAACATTTATTATATTATCATTTATCAAAATATTTTATAAATTTATCATTCCAATACATCTTATAAATAAATTATATAAAATAATAATAATCCAATCTAATTAGCAGGAATAAATAAAATTTAATTTTTTCAACATCAAGTTTTAGAGAATTCTCTAAACTTAAAACTTTCTATTATAGATGATAATATGGAGAATCTGTTAAAGCAAAATAGAGAACAAAAACTTTATTTTCTCCAATTAGGGGTGCTCAAAAGCCGACAAACCAATTTGGCCAACTCAAACGGAAAAAAACCCAATAAAATTCAACCTGAGGTAAATCGACATATAATTGATACAAAATTAGGTCAAACCGCATCTATTGGGTTAGAAATGAATTAGAATAATTTCAACCTAACCCAACTCGATGGCCTGGTAAATTCAATATGATTGTTAAGTTATTGATTACTATATGTACATTAGACCAATCAGTAGTTAGCTACACATAAAATTATATTACAATTTCAACCGTAATCTACTTTCTTATTAGCATAAACCTTAATACTTTTTTTGAGTTTGTTAGCCCATTTTGCATGTTCTTATTCTTATTTTACTTCTTTTAAATACAAATGATTAGTTAGATTGTAAAATGACATCAAAGTTTTAACCCGACCAACCCAACTCATACGGTTTGAAGTAGTTATGATTGGGTTGAGTCAAGTTTTTTTTAAATCACGAACATTGAATTGAGTTATTCAAATGTTGGGTTGGTCGGATTGAAAAATTCAAAACATATCCATTTTAACTTTATTATTATTATTATCTATATTATCTTATTAAGCAAATTTAACAAAAATTTTAAAGTTTTAAAATACTAAAGGACCAAAATACCATTTATACTCACTTTTTCACCCACTTCTCTCCTCACATACACTCACCCCAACCGATTTTTTTTAATTATAATTTTAAATTTACACTTTATACCCTATAATTAATTAATTAATTTAATTTACGTCATTTACTTTTAAATGTTTCATTTTAAACCTTTATCAAATTAACATACATAATCGTATATCAATTAAAACATGTTTAAAAAATACATTTTTATTTTAACAAGTTATACTATTATAATCGTCTCGTTAATATCTTCGAAATGAATCCAATATTGAATAGTTTTTGACTTAATTATATTATTATATATTATATACTGTGAAAAAATATTTTTAATATTTACAATTTATACTTTTATAGTTATTTATTTATATATATACTATATATTTTGAGGTTAAGCTGTCCAAATTGCATTGTATAATATGTTTTGAATTAATATGTTCTTGGGTTTTTTTGAAATATATATATATACATGTATTAATTCAACCTTAATCTGAGTTTCTGGACAAGTAAGAGGATAAGTAGTTGAAATTTCATTCTAAAACCCATTTTTTTTTGTCTTTTCATGGTTTATGATCTATTAAATTTGTAGTTTTCTTTATTGGTTTTGATTGTTTATCTTAAAACTCAAGTTTCTTAGTTCTTTGCTCTTGGTGTAAGTCGAATACATTTGTAGAGTCGTTTAAATATGTTGGATTTTAAATATATTGGATTTTAAACTGTCATAATTTGTTTTTCATCGATAGTCTGTAATTGGAACCATAACTCTAATTTATTCAAATTGTATTAATATGTAAAGACCAAGTGTAACATATATCATCGTTAAATCTTATCTTATAAAACCAGTTGAACTTCAAAATCATTAAAATTTATAGCTCCCGCCGCATTGCGTGGGTACACAACTAGTTATTATTAATCCATCAGTCTCGTTAGAAAAAAGTAACATGGACCCATGCAATTTATTGAGGATGCATCTGCTTTGTTATTAATCTTGTGGCATTTGCTCAGCTGACAATAAAAATTGGATCTCTAAGGAATTTCTTTAGAGGTCACTGGTTTGAGTACTATAAAACCACTGACGATTTTCCTGACCGTTTTCCAAGACCCAGAGATTAGTCAAGGTGCAAACATGTTGACCCTGACATCCACCGTTAACAAAAAAAAAAAAACTACTCTATCATTTGCTCCTTTTACCACTTACCTTATGACTGATTCAATCAAAAGACAACGGTAATTCTAGCATAAAAACTTGCCGAAAATAGAATATCATGGGAGAGGGTAGCAAACATGGGCAGACATGGTACGACATAGGTGACATTTGAATCTCCTCGGAATACAATCTTGGTTTCAGTGTGGATTAAAGATCTTACACGTAAACAAGCTGATAGATCGTGTCTAACGATAAGGGGCTCTAACATGCCCACTCAAAACAGAGGCTATACGATGCTCCCAAGAATGAAGGACAAAAGAGTGTCGAATCCCTAAGTGGTGCTAGACGCTGGTTCTAATACCTTATCAGTATATGTGAAACCCTTTTAAATCTCTCTAACTAGGGTCATTGACTCATTGTAGAGAAGGGAATGTTCCTATAAGCATACAAGTGGGATCGCAAAAAGCCCCGTATCCGAAAGGGAATCCCTTAGTTGACTAGGGATGGGGAATCTCCGAATTTATAAACCGGGGATGAGGATGCCCTTCATTCCCGACCCCAACCCCAAGTATCAATTATACATTTCTATGTGTGTGTGTGTGTATATATATATATATATATATATATTAAGTACAATAATATAGTGAGAAACCCAATGAGTATATATAATGTATAAACATAATCAATCTTTCGAAATGAAAACTTGTAAAAAAAATTACCTTATTGATTTGGTTGTTCATGAGAAACCTTTGTTGATATTAACGACGTGATTAAATACAACTTCAATTTTTAAGTGTTCTGATTGATATGGTTGTGTTTAAACTATGTTTTTTTATGTTACCCTTGTAGCAACAAATAAACTTTGGGTAATTAATATTTTTAGCATTATATCGTTTAAACATGGGGTTTAATTAGTTAATCATTTGAGAATTCCAAATTTGTAAGATCCGTAAGAACTTCTACCTTAAGGTTTTGTTCACATGATTTTTTCCATCTAAATATGGTATTGATTAACATATAGTTGTTTCACAGTGTGAAACTTTATTATGTTTACTTTTTGTTTCACAAACACGTAAAAGTTATTCATATTGTGAACCAAGTACATGTTAAACAAACACATTGTGAAACAAATATATGTTAATCAATACTCTAAATCCTAGTCTTAGATGAAAAACATCATATGAAATAACACATGATGCACAAGTTCTCAAGGTTATCACAATTTCATGGGTTCTCAAAAGATGATCCCTCATTTAAACCTAAAGCTGGTATTTATTTATATATAATACATAAAAACATTACGTAAAAAATAAAATTGTACAGACGGGGAAAAATCCCCGATTCCCTGATGGGAATGGAGATTGCAATCCCCGATACCCCGCCCCCTTGCCATCTCTTTGATTGATTATGTGTGGTTGATGTGATAACCCAGTAATAGACAATACCAAAATGTTCGATGTTGATCCTAGAAATAAAATCTCTATCACAAACCTATTCATATTTCAACCTAATCTCTACAATGATGAGGTCCAAATTGTGATGTAACAGCTCATTTTGAAGACCAATAAGTGCATTAAAAGATCTGTGCCCACAACTGCTATTATGCACCATCAAACTCCCAACTACCCTCGTGGTGTTTAATGTGCCAGTTTCATAAGAGGGCAGTTGGTAACTTAACACTAAACTTGGCTTAGCAAAAACATAATCACCATCATGTAGAAATTATGAACTTTACCTCGTTTTTTCTCCAAGAAATTGTCCGTAGTTGTTCTTGCCTCAAAATCCACAAATAATCCTACGGATTGATGGGTCATGTAGCTACGGCCAACTTCTTATGTGTGAGATTTGGTTTCGGTTTTGATGCTGGAGCTTGTCCTGGAGATGCATAGATAAATGTTAATATGTTATTTCTTCAGTTTCTGGGTAGTATAATCGGTCACTTAGCAATTTAAACATACTTATTAGCATAGATTTGAAACTTAAATGAGAAGAGAAACATACCTACTACCTAGTAAGGTAAAAAGATGTTAGAAAATGCTAAACAAGAAGTACATCATTGAACTCTGATGTAATAGGGTAAAACTGGGGAAATGTACATAAATAACCAAAGCTGATAGGTGGTTTCACTTTTTAGCCACTTTCTAACCCAAATTCACTCTTTTTAGCCAATCTTTAAGAACAAGGCTTATGCATATGCATAAGGATTGATTTTTGGCCAAAAAAGAAAATCCTTACGCAGAAAGTGGAATCCTTATACAGAAACCACTTTCTGCGCAAGGATACTTATTATTATTATTTCTTTTAGCCGAAAACCAACCCTTATGCATATGCGTAAACCTTCTGCATAAGGATTGGTTAAAAAGTAAATTTGGATCAGAAAATGGCTAAAAAGTGAAACCCTAATTTCTAATTGACTATTAACATTGGAGGGGGATGTTTAAAATAAATGCAACATTTTCTTTTTAACAAATATTCAATCCAGATTTATTAAAGGATTGGCTAAAAAGTGAATTTGGGTCAAAAAATGGCTAAAAAGTGAATTTGGGTCAGAAAATGGCTAAAAAATGAAACCCTAATTTCTAATTGGCTATTAATATTGGAGGGGTATGTTTAAAATAAATGCAACATTTTCTTTTTAGCAAATATTCAATCCAGATTTATTAATTTGTCTACTAGTTCATTATCAAATAGCCAAACATTGCATTTTTTTTTATTTTGCAACTGAGGAGGTGTACAAGTAAACTATTAGCAAATAAATTCCTTTAAAGCCATAAACTTAGAATGGAAGAGCAAGGGACATCCATAAAATCAAAATTATGAAGATGAACAGTTGCCTATTCTTGCTTACCAGGATCCTTGTCTGTTTTCCTCCGACTGCGCCATAAAAGACGAATTGGTGTGCCCGTAAATCCAGCATCAGATCTAAGTTGTTTCTCCATGTAACGGCGGTATGTTTCAGGGAAAAGCTTTGCATCATTCACAAAGAAAACAAATGTCGGTGGCCTAATAGCTGCCTGTAAACATGAATGACCAACCACTATGAGAAAAGTGGGAAAGCAAGAGGAAGCATGCAATTCAAATAGTAGCATTTGTTCAGATACCAAAGCTTACAGAACAAATACGCAACTGCAAAAGGCTTTCCATATTATAGATGTTTCACTAGTAAATGAAAAATCCATAGCAAAAGCATTCAAAAACTAAAGAACTCCTATAGTCCTATGTGAATGGGAACGCAAAAAACAGATTTATGGAGCAATTTCGTTGTCAAAGGCAGCTGGAAGGCTACAAGGTGTCTCCTTTGATTGATCTAGGTCTAGGTCAACAATCCACGACAAGAGGTCTATTGTAAAACTCGAAACAAAGGACGTTCTGAAAACAACCCAAAATCGATGCTCCAAATAAGAACCGTATTGATTTAAGGCAGAATACGAAATTATCTACCAAGAACTTCGACAAACAAATAACCCAATAAAAGGTAATATCAGCACACTGTACGTAAATCAAATTGCAGAAAATAAAAGAGGAAGAGATGACACCATATTTACGTGGAAACCTCAAAATGGGAAAAACCATGGGCGGAGGAGACCACCGGGAAGTCCACTATCGAGATGTTGAGTACAATGCTTGGAATGAAATTACAATGGAGATCCTATGGATATGAAAAATGGAAGCCTTCGTCTAATTATCTAGTCCATAATGATATTAAGGAGAGGGACTATTTAGTTGGAACAAACCACCCACTTCTAAACAAAAAAACAGTAAATGGGGCGACTTTGCGGCGACTAAAGTCGCTTGGGAAGTCGCCCGAATTTCTTTTAGCAAACAGTGATCAAGGCGACATTTCAGGCGGGTTGTGAGACTTCCAAACTCGACTAAGCTACTGTCCTTCAGATTTTGAAGCTGTATTTTGAGACCAATCTTCACAAGGTCAAATCTGGAAATCGAATTCAATAACTGAAGGAAAAAAACACCAATTTCCATCCCAAACCCACACTTAGAAATCCCGAGTCCACCACAGGCTTGGTTTTGTTAAAGGTATAAGCTACTCATATCGAAGTTCCACATTTTTAAAGTTGGTGAGAGCCTTTATGTTTTATATTTCAAGGTTATATGCTCCTGTGAATGTAAGTTTGTAATGATCTTCAAGCAATAATAAAAATTAGTATTAATATACTAGCAAGTTGTCTTCTTGATTCTTGAGGGAAGAAAGGTTTGAATGCTTGCAACAATCAGATTACGAGAAGTCGAGAACCAACAGTACTACAGAAATACCTGAGTGCAATAATAGAGACGTCCTCTCTTCCCACCTCTTGTCCTTGGAGGTGATTTAAAAGCTAAAGCCTCATGCACTACTTGATTCAATGTGGCTGTACTAAGCCTTCTCGATCTCTCTTTTTCAACAGCACTTGCAGCAACAATGATTCTGGAATACCATTACAAATGAATCCTTAAAGATTTATAACTAAATATTGGAGTTGAAGCTTTAATATAACATGGCAGTAAATAAATAGCCACCCATGGATTCAATCAGCAAGAAAGGAGACAAATGCCAACACAAACAGCAATGTCAAACCCTACTGTTATCTAAAACTTCTACAGACTGTCAGATATACAAGAACAAAATAACATATAGAGCTTTTTAACTGATTCAGGCACACCCAACTTAAAACTTCAAATAACAAGTTAAAAAAAATTATAAATGATGTCAAAAGGGATAGTAGATGCACATAGCTATTAAGATTTATTCTTATCCTACAATATGGTGAGGCAATTTACCAAGACAACAGCCAACTGGTATAAAATTGAAGCATACAGCAGTTGAGCAAATGACACAAAATTCGCTTTAAATACAGAGACATACCTATCTACGCTGTTCCCAGCTATTGCAGTTGAATAAACAATAGGTGCCCAATTAAGAATACGAAGCTTCATCCTAACATCTTCCTCGTAATGCAATGTTGTCTGCTGGTTTTTATTTGGTATCGTATCCCACTTGTTCACAACAATTAGACAACCTTTTCCTTCTCTTTCTATCCTTTCCGCAATCTTGTAATCCTGTTCACGAAGTAGGGAGTAGTCACATATCCATCAGATCAAAGAATGAGTTCTCTAATAGAAGAGCCAGCAAGGAAAGTTAATTATGGAGTAACAAAATCTTCAAAAATTCAACTAGCAATTAGAATGATTCACATACAAAGTAATGAATTAGAATGATTCACATAGGTGAACATTGATGTACATTCATCATATTGATAGAGAAATCAAAATGATTACACTCTCTAAAGAAGGCTTACAAAGGATTCTCTGTCTTTCAAGAGGCCAGGTTTCTCCCAAAGGTTCTCACCCAATTGACTACAAAGCAGAATACCCTTCCCTCTAACCCCGTCCCCTATTTATACTACCCCTTCTATCGACTTATTGACCAAACTTATAAACTTGTTGACCACCAGGTACAACAAACGGATGTAAGGACGTGCAGGTAGTAATTCCTATCCCAGACAAAACTTGATTAACAAATTCACTATGTCTACTAATACATACTAGAATCCTTTGTGATCAGCATTTTAGTCTTGCAATTGGTTTACAAACGTTATTGTTTCATAAATACTATAATGTTCAGCCCAACTTTTAGACTCTATCCAGAGCTTCATATGTCAAAAAAATTTACCTGTTCTGTGATACAGGCCAAGGCCTCAACCACAAGAGCTACAACATCAGAACGCCGAATTGCACGAAATGCTCGATTAACAGACAAAGCCTCTGTCGTGCTACCTGACGAAGCTACAGCTGCCCTTTTTCTGATTCCAGCGGTATCAATGAGACGAAATTTCTGCAAGAGATTCAATGATTTTCAACAAATGATGGATCATTAAAGAGCAATAGAACGACAGCAAATGCCAGTAGCCTTTGGCCTAACTAATCTCATTGAGTCTCTGAATCTAGTGGTTCTGAGCCAAAGCTTACTATGTGTGTGTGTATTTTCTTTGTCTAGCCTTGCCTTCTTTAGAGAAAATAGACACAAATGAATAAACAAAATAATAACCTGATAAACTTATTAGCATTGAAATTGTCTTCGCATTCATATCTAGAATATTCTTTTGCATCTGCCAATGCTCCAGGTAGCAAGTTATACTACTAAAGACCCAACATGATACTTGTATATGGACCTTGATTATTTGAATTTTACAGATTTCTAAATGGGTTATTTCTATTGATTTCCTCAATAACTTGTACAACTGGCAGTCAAAAAGACCATTTCTTGGGCTCCAAAGGTCAAAAAGTGCCTGGAGGTCCCAGATTCAAATCCAAGGAGGAACAAAAATCCCCCTGTGACCACGGAGGTTCAAATGCGGTGACTCCGGGCTACCCGCAAAGCAGGTGGTCGCCCTGGGATTAGTCGGCTCGCATAGCGGATTGGATATCCAGGTTAATAAAAAAAAAGAAAAAAATTATAAAACCAAAACAAACCTGGCCATCTGGTCCCTCAAACTCAGTATCAATAGCATCACGCGTGGTCCCACTAACTGGACTAACAATTGTTCTGTCCTCTCCAACTAAAGCATTCAGGATGCTACTTTTACCAACATTTGGACGCCCCACAATTGAAATTGAAGGAATGTAGTCTTCTTCTTTGTTCTGAACATCTGATTCCTGTGCAATAAAATCAACAATTGTCTGAAGATAACAACTAATAAAGAAGCACGCTAAAAAGAAAGGAAGTCAAGTTCATGCTTCCTCAAGGAAGACAACACTGTGACTACAAAAACCAGTGGTTTCCTGCCATCGAAAGAAACAATACCTCAATTTTTCCCAAGCCTGCGCAAACAAGATCAAGAAGCTCCCCGGTCCCAGTTCCAGAAACAGCAGATATAGGAAGTGGTGTAAACCTAATTATTCCACCAAAAACATAGTTTAATCAAACAAAAGATAATTAAAATCGAGAAGGTCACACAAAGCTAGCTAGAGTAACAGACAAATTCTAATTCCTCGGACCATTCCAAATCAAGAAGGCTGACATGCCGCCCCTGATGCTCAGTTGACATCACTTGCTCCCCAAAGGCTTTGAGAGATAATATAATTTACATGATGTTATATTTAGGAAAACTATCGCCAGATGCAAACTTTTACTTTTGTGAGGGATTACAGTAAACCCCGCTTCAGTGGTATCACATGATTGAGCTGGCCTTGTTACTAAAAAATAAGAATTTCAGCTTTGTTGATGGCATTCTAACAGAAGTGAGAAAGGATGCAACTTACCCAAGAGACCAAAATTCTGATGCCTGCATTATTCCTTTGCGTGGAGACTCACACTTGTTAACAGCTAATATGATAGATTTGTTTGAATAGTTCTTCCGAAGCCAGTCCCCTATTTCCACATCAGCTGCATTCAGGCCTGCCTGTTCAGAGTTAGTCATGTACGGCCCACACAACAAATGGGATTTATCACAAACAAGCAATAAAAGATGCTTGCAAAGTATAAGTATTATTCTTCAAATATAAAAACGGGGTTAAGAGAAAGAATTAAGGTTTGGTTTAGAAGCACAGGATACAATAAGCGACTAATAAACACAATTATCAAAAGTTAACATCTACTTTCACTTTTAACTTACGAGCAGAAGTAAATGATGTAAGGAATTCATTCTAAACCAGTACTTGAGACGTTGATGCAATTCTCCCATTGGAACTGGGAATTTTCATGTGTGATGGGGGAGGCAATTTGTAAAACTGACGGCACTTCAAGATTTTCTCATTAAGATTCCCGCTAAAACCTCCATCAACATGTAGGATGATATATTCTAACTTCATAAAGTCATATGAGCTCTAGACTCAAGTAGTTCACTAAACCAGTGTTCATGGGCATCAAAAGATATGAATTTTAGTCAGTCAGTTATCTCGACAGTAGTGCAAGCTATCTGCCCTATTTCTAGAATGTATAAAACAATAATACAATAAGTATAGATTCCACTACAATGATGTTGCTAGTTTATGAACCATACCTGGCCATCAACTACAAATATGATGACTGATGACTCTTCTACTGCCACTGTAGCTTGTCTCTCAATCATTGATGGCATCCTGGCAACAGCTGCCTCTCTAGAAGCAAGTGGAATACCTTCCATGCCAATGGTTGTTGAGACGGATAATTGTTGTTCCATAACATCAGTCTGTGACTTTGAAACTGTGAGAACACCTCCTGTGTCAATCACCATAAATTCATGATCTCCCCAAAAGGATCTACCATACAGACGATCCCTAGTAACCCCCGGTTCATCAACCACAATAGCCCTGTTTCCCTGGAACAAATATATTAAGAATATATGAGAATATATAATATCAAATAAATAACTTTTTGCTGCTGTTGGTCTACGCACAGTTGGAGGAAGGAGATGTGAGTTGTGACGGGTTAGATTGGTAGCTAACAGTATATAGGTTTCTTTTTTTCTCAAAATATTACTTTAAGCAACACTTGGATGTCGTTTCCTTGTTTTCTAAATGACAAATATAAAATTATTTACAAGGTATAACAAAAAAGGACAAAGACTGATAAATTTATACCCCAACAAGGCGGTTAAATAATGCCGATTTACCAACATTCGGTCTTCCAACAATTGAAACCTTTGGAAGAAGATGATCAGGTATCTGCATTAAATTGAAATTCAGTGAAGTTAATACCAGGTAACTACAAGATTTTGTCATTAGTTTGTTTGTCTCTGATTTGAGACAAATTTAAGTTGATTAAATGTAAGTGTCTCAACTCCTTCAAGAATGAGACCAACTTCTGCTCACAATTGCAATTTATTACTCATATTTACAGTCAAACTCAATAATTTTGCTGTTTAGGAAAAGAGAGCATGTGACTGTGAAGAGAGATAGTGTGTGTTGAATTTCAACATGTTCCAAACAGAAAATGTGGCAAGTTCAATCATAACCTTGGTAGAGCATCCCCTAAGCTTCAACTAAACATGTCCTCAACACATATTGCGACCACCCAAGTGTTTCCACAGAACAAGAGACCAATAAAAAATGATGTATGTTGAACAGATCGTTTACATTTCCAGTCTTTCCATGTCAGGCCTCTATTAGTTTGGATCAGACCTTCCTTCTAAATCAGCCAATTTAACATGTTATATTTGACTATAGAACATAAATATACATGACTTTTGATGCAATTCTTCTGATGTTTGAGAAGACAAAGCAAGAAGCTCCTTGATTTGAAGGCAAAAACATTCAGAAATGGACACCTCAATGGTTGGTCATGCACATTTTAGCATTTCCGCTAAGTGAAAATTTTGTGTCACAACTTGAAATTTTTTATTCCTGCACATGTATGCTTATACCATTAGACTTGCTACTAGGAGCAGATTTCTAGGATAAAAGTGAACTGCAGATGAGATATCATTCCTCAATCTCAAACAGCACAATGCTCTCACGATTCTCTCCTAGTCCCAAGCTAAAACAAATCAAAAATTCCATTAGACTATCTTCAACCTTATTAGACACAAACTTCAACTCATAAAAGTGCACACCAAGTAATGTCTTTCAGTAAATGACAAAATGACCGCACAGGATATGCTTACTAACATTTATGGGTATAATCCTTTCCCGCATCTTCCTTCTTCCACGAGTTCCTTTATCGTCAATTGGCTCCTCTTCTAAAAGATGACAAAATGTTAACACATTTTTCAACCAAAATTGCGCTAGCAAGTCAATTAGAACACAAACACACAGGTTCCACCTAAGAGATAAGTTAAGTTATCACAGATTTTTACACACAAGCTGTTGCTTACCACAGATTCCAGAGCTTCTCGTTTGTTACCTACTAGTAGATTCAAATAATTTCCCAGCAAATGAACATGTGCTCCAAACTAAAAGCGTGCAAAATAACATACTCCCAAGTTCACCATTCACGATAAATTACATCCTTAGCAGTTAGCATTGAAGAATTTCGGAAAGTGATAGAGCAACAGACAAATGGTAACTTGAAATTATGTTTGCAATTATAAAAGATTAGCCAGAATTAGACATAAGTATCATGCTTAGACGCTACGGAACATAAATAAACAATAAAAACACGCACCGATTTTCAATTCCTTCGATAGAGAAAGAGAGTATTCACGAACGGCCTTTTCTGCCTCCAGTTCGAGCTCATCCACATCCAAATGTTCATCGCTAACATCTTCAAAATCGGACTCTACATCATCTTCAATTTCCGGTAATTCATCTTCTACTGATACAAATTCTCCTTCCAACGATCGAACAGTAGTTGTACGCCGACGGTTGTGAAGATATATGGCTGATAGAGAGAGTGGTAGATTGGATGAACGAGTTGGAAAAAGGAGCGAAGAAGAGGGAGAGAATTTGGACACCGGAGAGAGGAGAGAGAGAATTCTAGAGAGAGAAACATGTGAAGAAACATCAAGAGATGACATTGTGGATTCAAATTGGGTCAAGCATAGAAGAAAGGAAGAAGACGAAGTTTGGCGGGTAATGGATATGACTGATAATAATGAACTTGAGGGTTTATCCTCTTCTAGTTCTAGTTGTAGTTCATGGAGGGAGGTGCATGATAAACACTTATTTGCTAAATTACGCCTGTAGTTAACTTATCCATTTCGTACGCATTTTTACTCTTGGGCTCATTGGTATTACATCCTATGATTTTGGGCCGCAACCCAAGACCAAAAGATTGGACAAGTCCAACAATGAAACTCATGGCGTAGAGATGGCCAAATCGGCTCGGCCTGGCCCAGCCCGGGACCGACAAAGGACCAGGACCGGCGGTCCATAACCGGTTATAAAGTACCTTGACCGGTCCTATCATTTTCGACCGGGACCAAGACCAGGACTGGGACCGGTTACGCCGGATTCGGTTATAGCCGGTTATGAGAAAGGTTAGGACCGATTGGGACCGGCCCGGGCCGGTTTTTGGCCATCTCTACTCATGGGTAGGTTTGTAATTTTCTACATATTTTTAATAGTTTTTCTTTTTTCCTTAGCTTTGCTTTCCTTTCCTTTGATTCTATATTGAGTGTAAAGTTGGAAGGAAATGGGTCTATTTTTCTTTCCCTCTTGAAAGAACTTGAGGGGCTGTTTAGCAATTGTTAAATGATTTAGTGCAGAATAATTAAGTGGTCAGAATGATTAAGAGGCTCTCATGATATARTGCAAAATGAAATATAATTRTTTGGTAATTGYGTACAATGAAATTAGGGCTCTTAATGGTTAAGGAAGATCCATGATACAAAATCATTCAGAGGGTTTTAGAACCATTAAGAGACAGACTTTTTTTTGCCAAACAAGATTCACCTCTTAACGGTTCAGATATTACCTCTTAATGAAACTATTAAGAGGTAAACAAACAACCCCTGAGAGTTGAGAATACAACAAACTTTTCTTTTCCACCAAATGACCTTTGACCTAACGGTATGTGAGTCTTTAACCTTTTAGAAGGTCAAGGGTTCAAATATCACCAAATGTGAGAAGKATGTATGAGTTTATTTGTTCTGTTTATCTTATTTTTACCCAATGAATTTTGTTATTTAACAAAAACCTATAATTTTATGATTAAGATTAATATAAAATTACCTCTATATCCATTAAGATTTAATCCAAGTTTTCAATATGATCAATTTTGATCTATAACTTTATTAAATTTGTCAATATACAACTTTGGGCCTTGGATATGGGCCTAAATTTGTTGAGGAGAGTGTGGGAAGATGAGGTGTTGGTCTCTTAGATAGAACATGTGTAAGAAGCATAATATTGACACAATAGTCAATAGTGGATGAGATAAAAGTCAAACCATGTGTTGTGTTATAATGAATAGATGAGATAAAAGTCAAACCATATGTTGTGTTATAATGAATGTGTTAAAAGTTTTATATCATTTTTGTTTACTTCAAATTTTCTGACTAAAAGACAAGATTACAAACACGACCCATCAGAAAGATTTTTCTATTTTTGTCATTATGAACGCTGGATTTCTTCTGGTGCCCTAAACCTCTAAATCTCTCTTCATAATTTATGTGCATGACTGTAAACAAGTCTAGCTTGTTGCTTGTCTTTTATGTTAAACCAGTGGCCACCCATTCTGCTCAAACTTAAAAATGTGAATCAGATAGGCATATCAGTAATGTTCTTTTTCATAAAATATATATGTTTTCAACACGTCATCATGATTCTCCATCTCCATATACTGCCAACAAACAATCGTTTTCATTTGACCACCAACCACCCATAAACGTTATTAAGTTAATACAAATAAATTTACATATAAATTGTGTGAGTGTAACTAAATTATATCTTGAGTTGAAAATATGAGTATCATTATGAAAAGTTAATGTCTCCATAATTATGTAGGAGAATTTATCATAAAAAAAAAAGTAAAAGGAACAAGGGCGTGGCAACTAACAAGTAAATGGTACTTAGGACATCACTCTCTCATTCAATGGTCTTTAACATTTGTCATATTCCTATTGTTGGTTCATTAAGATATTTTATTTATTTATTTTATTTTATTAATTAAATTACTCAATAATCATATATATATATATATGGTTGGATTCGCATGAAACCAGATAAGTTTCGTTAGATCTGTAAGTGACGGGACCCTGTACACCGCTTAAGCCGCAGAGAGTATCGCACGGGCCATGTAAGGTCTCTGTGTGTGAGAGGCATATCGGGCAACCAGTGTCGTGACAGTGGTCTAGGAGTGTTCCAGGGGGGATAAAAACATTTTTTGGGAGGTTTTCGGCCATTTTTCTCAAACACTTATTGATATTTGGGAGATGAAATTATTTTGGGTTAGCTTATGAAACGATAGATATAGAAGTTGATTTATGTGTATAAGGTGGGATAGTTATTCCCATGAGATATCTAGATACATATATTAAATCACCAAATGACTCAAGCTATGAACCATGGCTGGTTGAACTTGATGAGGTGTGACTAATAACGGTTTAATTATAGCAAATGAGCATATATTAGTTCATTGGAGAACTCGAACAATGGGCTGTGAGTGGTTGAACTCGATGACCAACGTTCTGTAATAGAAGCTTTAAAACATAGATTTGTGCCTACTTTTTTGTTCTGCCACAATCAATGGAAATCATGTCTCCTCCATCGTCACAAAACGTAACGTTAACTTTATAGTCCTTATATTGGAATTGCTTGAACCTTTTGCTCGTCTAAGTTCTATTTTCCCGGTTTCATGATTACTATTTTTATTTATAAAGTTGTTTGATCTCACTAGCTGTTAACCCTAGCACTTTTTTTTTCTTCATAAAATGACATGTATATCAGAATCTCTACACGGTTTCGAAGGCTTGAGCAGAGTGTCAGCTGCTGGTAGAGGCACTTTTTGGAATTGATAGCTTCTGTCGACTTGGCGTTATGATTAGACAGAATTCTTGTGGTAATGATAGTGATACACGTCCGTAGTCTGAGTTTTAGACTGGTTTAAGTTAGTAGTTTTTAATTATCATCCATTCCTTCATGATGCAAACGCTTAACAATTTCCCCATTTTGGGTAATTATTATATTTAGGCTCTTATCCAGTGTTATCTTTATGGTTTAAATTTACTCCTATTTTAGGGGTGTTACATATATTTTGGTCCCTAATGTTTCAGTTTTTAATGGATATTGTCTCTAAACTTCAAAAACTCGTATTTGACCTGCCATGTTTGTCAAATTCCCAACGGTTTTGATTCTTCTATCTAACGATTGTTAACTTTCTCCGTTAAGTTTTGTTATTTTAACTATTTTCATAATTTTATATTAAAATTAAAAAACATATTATATTTTAAATTTTAAATTGTAAAACATAAATAGAAAAAGAAAGAAAAAAGTGGTGATATCCTATTCATTTTTCTTTTTAGTTTGACGATTTAACTTTTAAAATATAATATATATCTATACTATATCATAAAATATTTGATAAAAACTCTTAAAAATCATTCTTTATGTATGAAGTACTGTTAATTAATGCATAGTACTTAAAATTTAAGATTATAATAAATTATGCGTAAATACAATTTATTAAAACTTCATTTTTGAATTCGTATGACTAACTACAGATAAACATAATCAAATACAAGATAAACACCTCATTTTAAATATAAAAAATCTAAAATATAATTAGGACAATAATTAATTTTTAAAAGAATCATTATCTTTATAAAAATTATATTGTTAATCCAAAATAAATTACTTCATTATTAAACCTAAATCAAATTATAATAAAAAATAGAATTAAAAAAATTGTAAAAAAACGAGAACTTTAAAAAATTTAATTTGATATTAATATCAATGAACTTTTTCAAAATTTTATGATATTTTTAAATTTATTTTTATTTAAAATTAAAAACATTATCTTTCTTAAAACTACATAAACCGTATTATATCAACATAGACAAAATAAAATGAAACATTAAAATAAAAACGTATCTCGTTGCATTGCACGAGTACCCTTCTAGTATTATAAAACATTTGACAAAAACTCTTAAAAACCATTCTTTATGCATGAAGTACTATGTACTAATGCACATTACTTAAAATCTAATATTACAAGTAAATTATATGTAAGTACAACTATTTAACGCTCCAATTTTGAATTCGTATAACTAACTGCAGATAAACATAATCAAAAAAGGATAAACATCTCATTTTAAATATAAAAAAACTAAAATATAATTAAGATAATCATTGAGTTCTAACAGAATCATTATCTTTATAAAAATTTATTGTTAAGTCAAAAATAAATTACTTCACTATTTGACCAAAATTAAATTATAATAAAAAATTAAATTAAAGAAATTGTACAAAAGAATAAGAACTTTTAAATAATTAATTTGATATATATATATTTTTTTCAAATTTTTATGATATCTTCAAATGTATTTTTATTCAAAAGTAAAAACATTATATTTCTCAAAACCACATAAACCGTATTATATCATCATAAACAAAAAAATATGAAACATTAAAATAAAGATGTATCTCATTGCATTGCACGAATATCCTTCTAGTATATATTATATAGGGCAAGGTTAAAAGGGAAACCATAAAAAAGTAAAAACCTAGAAAACAGCTTCATATTCTTTGATTTATACTAATCTTACGATTACTAAAATTTACTAATAAAATGATTTTTTTTTTTTTATAAAAAATGATATTTTGGTACATTTCAACAATTGGATAATTATTACCATAAATACAATTCCTTAAATAAAGGAAGTTGCCAAAATTATTGGAAATCTTCCACTCCACTCAAAAAGTTTACATGTAAACAAAACTTTAGAAAAAATATATATTCTACAATCTAAAAAAAAAACATCTTACAATTGTATTTGTATTCTTCTTTTTTGGGTTGTATGCACATGTGAATAAATCATTGTATTCATCGTCTTTCAATTTCTCAACTGCATGTACAAGTGAATAAGTCACTATATTCATCGTCTTCAGTTTCTTGACTGCGTACACATATCAATGCGTTCATATTCGTCTTTCATTTTCTGAGTTGCATACACATGTGATAGACATCATATTC